TGCTGAGGGTGTGTGAATCTAAGGCTATGGCTGAGTGCTGATGGTGAGAAATCAGAGCACAGCTCAGGTTCAGAAACCTCGCTGTGCTGAGGAGTGACTTCACCTGCATGAGGAAACCATTTATGGATTTCCTCCTGATCTTTCTATGCTTGCTGTGTGAGTTCAGGATAGCCCCTCACAGGTATGCCAGAGGTTAGCTTCATCTAGAAAACCCCTCACTGGTGCTCCCAGAGGCTAGCCTAGTCTGCAGAACCCCTCGTAGGTGCTCCCAGAGGCTAGCTTCATCTACAGAACCCCTCGTAGGTGCTCCCAGAGGAGCCTAGTCTGCAGAACTCCTCCCAGGTGCTCCCAGAGGTTTGTCTTACAGGTGATCCTAGATCCTGTCAGTTGCCAACATTAACCCCCACATCCTGTATGCTGAGCTTTGAATTTTGGGCAAAAATGAGCATGAATACTAATCATAAGCCAAAAGATGTACTTTAGATGGTTTCATTTGATTGAAATACAATATAGGTGGGTGTAAGAGGAATCTTAAAAGTTCTTATTAATAAAATCAAACCCGAGGCCAGGTATTGAGGCGAACACTGGAAGATCAGAGAGACAGAACAAGCCACAGCTAACCTCACCTGGCCAACTTCTCAGCTGGTCTTGTTTCCTCAGACTGGAAGCTTCTGTGTCCTCATCCCAATGGCTCTCAGCTGAACTGTGCTGCTAGAAGCCTGAAAGCTTAACCAGCCAAATGCTTCTAGTTTCTGGTCGTCACGCCTTATATACCTTTCTGCTTTCTACCACCACTCCCTGGGATTAAAGGCTTGCTTTCTGGGATTAAAGGCATGAGTCACCATGCTTAGCTGTATCCTTGAACAGATGGATTTCTGCCTCTGGAATGCTAGGATTAAAGGTGTGAGTGCCACCATTTTCTAGCCTTTGTATCTAGTGGCTGTTCTGTCTCTGACCCCAGAAAAGTTTATTAGGGTGCACAATATTTTGGGGAACACAATACCACCACAGGTGGGACTTACATTTTTAGGTTGAAGCCTCTAAGGATTCAATTCCCAAGCCTCCTTATCGTCTGGAGGCTCTGTTTACACCCAGTAGTTCTCAGTTCACACTTAGAGACAGTCATGACTGAAGAGCTGTGGGTGCAGGGTAGCTCTGTGAGGGACAGTCTGTTGCTGTCCTGTCAACATGCTTGCAGATTCTAGTCTTCAGGATTCAGAACCACTTTTCCTTTCAGCAGACGGTCCTGGTTCTAGATATGTTAGAAGCACATGCCTTGTTTACTTTCTTGTGTGTAGTGTGAATGTGTATGGATGTGGGTGCACATGCGTGTGAAGATGGATGTATGCAACTGCATGCATGTATGCTGAGGGCAGAGGTTGAGGTTGAGTGTCCTTCTTGATCATTTCCACCTTATATACTGAGGCAGGATCCTCTGTGTGAACCAAAAGCTTAGCAATTCGGCACTGATGGCTAACTAGCTTGCTCCAGGTCCCCCATTTCTGCCTCCCAAGTCCCAGGATTTCAGGCAGGCCACCATGCCCACCTAGCATTTATGTGGGTGCTGGGATCCCAACTCTGGTGTTCGGGCTCACCCAGAAAATGCTTCACCTGCCGAGCATCTCTTCATCCCCGAGTTGTTTCTTTGTGTGTAAATTGTTAGGAACTTCTTTAGATATTTTAAATGAAAGCATTACCTGTTGAGAGTACGAAATAGATAATGCACAAGATTATTACATATTGCTAGATAACATTTAACTCACAACTGCTGCTGCTTTTTTCCCCCTATAAAAATGACATCTTCTCTAAGGCATGGCAACAGTGTGGTTTTTGCATATTCCAGTGGTAGAGAGTTCATGCTGACTAATTAGTATTTATCGACTTGGCCGAGCAGTCCAGTAGTACAGCCTGCATTAGTCTGCTTCCTTTGAGAAGCTGATACGCAAATGGAAACAGAGGTGCAGGAGATTTCTTGGATACATTTTCCCCTCCCACACAGGGAAGATACTGATGCGGGTAGATGGGGTCTTAAATATGACAGATATTTAAGCTAGGCCTAGTGGCACGGGCCTATAATTCCAGCTGCTCAGGAGGCTGAGACAGGAGAGTCATAGGTTCAAGGCCTGCCGGGGCTTCATAGTAAGTTCAAAGTAAACCTAAGCAACTAAATGAAACTCTGAAGAAAGGACTGAGAATATAGCTCAGTGATAGAGTGCTTCCCTAGCATACATGAAACCCTGGGTTTAATCCCTGGTACTGAGAGAGAAAGAGAGAAGGAGAGAGGGAGGGAGATGTCTGTGCATGTTAGACTATTAAATGTTTATGCAATGGAGTACATTTAATGTAGTCCTTGCTGGGTGAAAACAAATACTATATTTTTACAGAGATGGAAATCTAGGCTAATTCCATAATATCTTATCACTTTATTGGTATGCATGTGTTCAGACCACACCACGAAAGTGTGAGTTAAGTTGACTGCAAAACTTTATAGCTTTGCGAATAGGATGGTCACCACAGAATGTGGCACACATTTAAAAATATATGCTGGGATCTGCATAGGAAGACTGACTCTTAGCATTTCCAGACTTCCAAAATAAAGCAAAAAAAAAAAAAAAAAAAGAAAGAAAAAAAAGACAGAAAGGCTTTGGAAAGACATCTAGGATACTTTGAAAGCCATATTTAGAAACTACCGTGAATGCAGTGCCTATATATAGTGAGCCTCTTTTAAGAAAAATAGCTCTCAGCCTTTGTTGTACATTCCGGGTCAGAGGTCTTGTTGAACATCAAGAGGGTGAGCTACAAAGATACATGGATCTGTATGACCAAGTTGGTCTTCTAGAAGCTCTGAGGTAGCCCTTATTATGAAGACTAAAACCATGGTGTTCGATTATTGCTCAACATAAAGGAACATGGCATGGCTTGCTGCCCTAGAGTGACTGACCTGGTCCCCTTCTTGTTGGCTGTAGGTGCTATCACCTGTTCCATCCAGCAGAGCACAGATGCCCTCCCTTCTTCTAGGCAGACCTAGCTCCATTTTTCTTAGCCCAAACATTATGTTGTTTTAAGTCCTCCCTATTGGCTCTTGGGCTTCTGCAAACATGCTGTGAGATGGAGGAGGATTTCAGAGTTGTTGGTATTCTTCTGAGCCATCTCTTCAGCTCCATTCCTCTTTTTATTCAGTCTGCTTCTCTAGCCCAGGTTATGGCGCGATCTGCATGTAGGGTGAATCTCCCCGCTTTAGTTAAACCTCTTGAAATGCACTCATAGACACAGCCCAAAGTGTGCTTCATTAATTTCCTATGTGTTCCTTAATCAAATCAAGTGGATGATCAAAATTAATCACCACGTACTCTCACTGGCAGTGTGTGAGGGTGTTGATTTCTCTACATCCATGCAAACCCTTGCCATTGCCTATCACTTTGATTACAGCTGTACTGGTGCTTGGGAACGGTACCTCTCCGTGGCTCCCACTTGAATTTCTGTGACTGCTAATTATTAGCATCCATCTTTTCATGTGCTTATTATCCATTTACAGATCACACACACACACACACACACACACACACACACACACACACACGCACACACACACACAGAAAGAAAGAGAGGAGAGTTATTGAGATTCTGTGACTACTTTTAAATTGAACTGTCTGTTATTAAGTTATAAAATATATGATTTACAAATATTTTCATTCATCTTTTAATTTTCTTTACTTTGAAGCACAAAAATTTATTTTTCTTTTGTGACAGGGTCTCTCTAGGTAACCCAGGTTAGCCCCCAACTCCTGGCCTTCTTTCCTGCTTAGTTTCCTGGGTGATGGGATTACAGGGATGTAATGTAATAACTGAAAGTTAAAATGATGATTCTTACCTTCATCCAACTATCCTAGCTTTTTGGCATGACTGCTCTTTTTCAGGTAAGTTTTGATTTGGGAATATTGTGAGACTCTATCTTCTGAGCATGAGATGTCTGTTGCTGTTTTAAAATAGAGCAGTTGCAATTACTCCCACAAGTCCCTCACATGACTGGGCTCACCAACGGAGTGTGTAAGGTTCTTCACAAGATGGCCCTTAAAGCTCATGGGGTCTCACCCCTCCTCAAGGATATACAAACAGTCAACATGTGCAGGGGAAGATAGGGGCAGAGTCCTCTTCCGTACAGTAGCTGCCCAGAAGTTGCCCACGTTCCTACTGGTAACTCTTCACCTATGCACCTGTAATACTAGTCCAACTCACTGGTTCTCCAAGCTAGACTGGAGATTCGTTTCTCTTGGCTCTCATTGGCGCCTATCTGGGACGAATAGAAGTCTGTCCGTGTCTCCCATGAAAGGTCTCCCAACAGTGGCTGGCTTTACCAATTTAAGGTTGCTGTTACTTTTGTTAACTACTTGCTTATTTTTGACAGCTGCATTTGACAGATATATCTTATTATGTATGCATTCTAGACTTGCCTTTAACAAAACAAAGCAGACTGCAGCAGGCATGGATGAAGAAGCCAGTAACAATCCTGTGTCTCTTAACATTGAGAGCATGATTTGAGAAATGTGTCATTGGGTGATTTCATCATTATTTGAACATCCCAGAGTACACTTAGACAAATAGAAATGGTCTAGCCTACCATCTGTCTAAACGATATGGGCTAGCTCTTAGGCTAGAAACATGAAAAAGAACATTTCATCCTGCTGGCCCTCCTTCACCCCTTTTCATGATGCAATGTTTATTGACCCGGTCATGTGAAGGTCTCATGTAGACTGTCCCAGACTGTCTCAGTTGGCAAAGGCAATATCAACACTAGAGGAGAGGACAGAGTACCATGGCAAGTACTGTTATTATGTCTGCACATGTAAAGCAGATTGCAAGGGGGATAAAAATTGAATATTTTAGAGTTGTTTCTGTATTTGATTTAGTAAACTTCAAGGTGAAAACCACCATGCAAAGTAATAGAAGTTTCTTTTCTTTTCTTTTTTTGAACCAGTTTCTATTTTCTGTCCTCTTTCTAGGCCTCTGATGATTGTCACTCAGAAGATTACAACCTTGGCTTTCCAAATTCACGATGGTGAGAAAACAGTCTTCCCCTTGGATCTCAGAACCATCCAGGTGTCCAGTACTCCCATGCATGTATTTCATACACAGTCCAAGCTTTATGTGAGCGCTGGCAGGCCTTGCTCTCTCTTGTTCAAGGTTTCCAGACCTCCATAGTTACACCCTTTAACTTTCCCAGCCATCAGTCCCCATTTCTTTACTGAACCCACAGTCCATATTTACTAACATGTTTGCTCCAAGAACAGTGAGGTTTTTGTTTACATTTTCAAGTTAATTCATGATGCCCTCTGACCTTACCCAAATTTATTAAGACAATGGCTTCCTTTTGGCTTTGATTTCCTCTCCGAAAAACTTAGAGGGCAATAAAAAATTTAACAGCATTGGCTGGTTAATCGGTGTTTAATGCTGGGTTTTTAGCCCCCTGGGGGAGGTGTGTGCTTGGAAAAATCATCTGATAAGATTAGCCTGACCTATAAAAAGCTGAGAGAAGGAAGAGTCTTTTGCCTGTGTAAGACAGAACACTTTTTTCACTTAGGCCCTTCCTAACAATGGTCAGAGCATGCGATTTACATCATTTGAGTGGTTCTCCAGGGAAGGGAGGGAGACTTTCAGCCAGGTGGAAGATTCCAATACAGGGTTAAGGGGTGCAGTGGGCAGGTGCCCTGTGGGTTTGTACTGCTCTGAGATGGACCTCAACTGTTGACATGTCTTTATAGTAGACCGGTTGAGAAGATTTCTCTCCAACAATTAGTTTCCTTGCTTTACTTCAAGTGTGAGGACAGATTACATTTTAATTGACACCTGTATTTCATTCATACTTGGGGCTTTAGCTACTCTACATAGAACTGGGTCATTCCACAGCAAGAATGGGGTGTCTGCAGAGTGACCAACCATCCTGATTTGCCCAGAGCTCAGACACATCCCCAAATGTGACTTACACTGTCAGAATCAATAAGTCCCAGGAAAATGGAAATGCTATTTGGTGGTGGCTGCCAGGAATGTCTAACCCATGGCTCATGGGCCTAAGGAATGGAAGCCCAGGATAGCTTTGAATGTAGTCCAAACACAAATTATGAACTTACTTAAAACATTATAAGATTTTTTGGGGGGTGGGGGGTGGGGATTAGCTATGCTGTTCTGTGCTTGAGTGTAAATTTTATACATGACAACTTTGTGTGACCATGTCAAAAGTTTGGGCACGCCTACCAGTATAGACTAACAGAAGGAACTGATAGTCCAAGTCAGTTCAGTTCTGTACATTGCTGTGGGTGTGTTGAGATCTCATTGGAAAAAAGAGAGTGGGGTTTTATTGTTGGCTCTGTGTGTACATATGTGTGTAGACATGGCCTCACTGTGTGTCCCAGTTTAGTCTTGAACTTGGAATCCTCCTGTTTCCTCTCAGCTGAAACCATACTGGGCTAGAAGGGGTGGGGTCTTTTTGTTTGTTTGTTTTGTTTCTTGACACTGATTCTTTTTCTTCTTTTTTTTTCATTTTGAAATAGACTTTGGGCCTAAATTTACATTTTAAAGTACTCTCCCTTTCCCACATTTCCTGGAGTATTCTTAACACAGAGGGAAGTATTTATTTACTTTTTTCCTTTTCTTTTTTTCCCCCTTGTGTGTGGGAGGAATGAGGGAATTCCATAAACACTCTGTCTTTTCTTAGGCATTTTCTTTTGACAGGATCTTATTATGTCTCCTAGCTGGCCTGAAACTCTATCTGCCTGTCTCTGCCTTCCATATGCTATGATTACAGGCCCGAGTTTAAGTGCATTGTGGAATTGCCTTCGTGGTTGCTAGGCAGATTTAGAGTTCTTACGTTGCTTGTTGTACTTCAGGGCCAATATGTGGGTCACTTCTGTACTCCCAGCACTTGCATAGCATATACAAGAGGGCTTCAGGTTCAAGGTCAGCCTGGGCTATGTAGTGAGATCCTATCTCCAAAACAAAACAAACAAACAAAAAAACAAGAGGGGAAAAAAAAACCCACCAAGATAATGCTTTAGTTTCTTTGACTCCAAGATAGCATGTACATTTTACAGGAAGCAAACGTCGCTTGTGGTTGGAAGTTTATCCGCTGTGGATGAATTCAAAGAACAAAAGACAAAAGTCTGATGATTGTGTTTTCCCTGCAGTTAGGGTTATGTTCCTTTTGCTGTCTGGAAGGAGAAAGTCCCTGTTTCTTCCCCCGTTAGGTCTCCTCTCAATCCTCTCAGCTTCCCCTGTTACGGCTGTCCCAGTTCTCAGGTATATTAGCTATTTTTCCTGTTGCTGTGACAAAATCCCATGACTAAGGCCACTTAAGACAGAACACGTTCATTCAGGCTCACAGTTGGAGGTGGCTGGGAAGACATGGCGGCCTGCACCAGTGCACGGTCACATTGCACCTGAAGTCAGGAAGCAGAGAGGCCTATCTGTAAGGAGTCGGTCCTTAATTACATCATCAGTCTGTGACGTCGTCCCAGCCTACAAAGCGCGTGGGCGCTCTGTGCGTCTCTCTCTTTCCTTTCCACTCCTGCACCTTCCTTCCATCTGGACCTCCTCTTTCCGCTCTCTCTTTCCCTCTCTCTCTCTCCCCCTCTCTCTCTCCCTCTCTTTCCTTTTCCTCTCTCCTCCCCTCTCTACCAGTAAAGCTCTAGAAAGGTAACTATGGCTTGTGACTTTCCTCCAGCACTCTCCTCCGCCAGCATGGCCGTTGCGGGCGGCCAGCCACAGAGCAGCGCGCGTTTAACCCACACTATCTGTGGGTGCCTTGCTCATTTTCTCCTTTTTACTAAGCCCTTGGAGTGGGGCTGCCTATAGGTAAGGTGGGTTTTCCCACCTCACATAACCACTTCTAGAAACTCCCTCACAGGCGTGCCCAGAGGTTTGTCTCCTAGGTGATTCTAGGTCCTGTCAAGTTGACAGTCACTGTCAGCCGTCACACCAAGTTTCCCACTTAGCATCATGAGGGAGACATCTGAACTGGTTCAGCTCACGAACGGCACTCTTACAACTGCTAGAGCAATGGAATCCTGCTGTGTGATAAGGCATCTCTAAGTGGAGGTGATGGGCAGGGTTTTCTGGAGTTAACATACTACTTAGGCAGATCAAATAAAGGAACCCAGAATGTTCTCTTGTGCACACAAACCTATGGAGACTTCCTCACATGGACTCATGGGGGACTAATCTAGGATAACTTTACACCCGTCAGAAAGATGGAATCCAGGGCCTTGTGCATTCTAAGTTCACTCTCAACCAATGCCTTCCTCCTGCAGGGCTTCTGAAAAATGGAAAAAGCAGGGATTCTTTAAGGTAGACGAAGCAAAAACAATCGGCTTTTTCCAAATGAGTTTGGGAAGACTCCTTTAGGATCAGTTACTTATTTCACTTTAAACACCTTACTCTGAATTTCATTTCACTTCCATAGGATTAGGTCGAAAAGCTGAAGACCTTTCTGCTGAGCAACACCGACTTGCTGTGAAGTAAGTTAGCAATTACTAGTATATTCTCAAGCCCTTTGGATGTGTCTAGAGCAGTGGTTCTCACCTTTCCTAATGCTGTGACCCTTTAATACAGTTCCTTGTGTTCTGGTAACCCCCAACCATAAAATTATTTTGTTGCTACTTCATAACTGTAATTTTGCTACTGTTATGAATCATACTATAAACATCTGATATACAGGACATCTGATATGTGACCCCTGTGCGGGTCGAGACCCACAGGTTGAGAATCACTTCTCTAGAGTTTCTTTAATACTCATATGTTAATTCCATTATATGGATGTGATATTACTATTGAATCTGCTGTTGATGGGCCCTTGTCTGTCTACTAATCTTTGCCTTTGGACAATGCTAAACAATGGCTGACTTTGCATATAGATCATTGGTGTGTGTGTTTGAGTCTGCTGTAGGGCAGAGGTCAGGAGCAGATGGATTTCATCTCTGATTTTGTCCGTCCTGTGAGAGTTTCCTTTTCCAGCATGTGTGTGTCCACTCCAGAATTACTTTTGTTGAACTTGTGTCGGGGGCCTTTGAGAAACAGTAATTGCCAATGCATGTAGTATGATTAGGTCCAGCATAGGTAAAGATAGGAAGTAGGACAGAAGGCTACCCAGGTTGGGAAGTTAGAGGGATTCTGAAGGTGGTCTTTGGCCAGTGTGGACAGGCAGCGGAAAGGGGATAGTGTTAGAGAGAAAAGGAGGGTTCCTAAAGAATCAAGAGAAAAACATTGACATGGGGATAAAAATGCCTTTTGGGTGGCTCACAAAGAGTAGCCATGGCTGGGGAAGAGGTTCCTACTAGAGGGTACCAGAAGCAGCTGGCATCCCTAAGGAGTCCCGGGAGGTGCCTTCACTAAGGAACTGAGACTTGGAGACAGGTGTGAATAAGTCTGATCTCTTGCACGGCACTATGTAGCTATAATCAGCGTAAGGCACAGTCTGAAGAGCCAATGAGCGACGGTGTTTCAAGTACTCCTACAATAATACTCTGCTAGAACAGGCCTCCTGCGTGCCCTTGAAGCATTAGGAAGAACTGTGCACTCCAGGTTTTCCCTGGCCTCTTTTTCAGGACCTAGATACACCAAAGCAGACAACAGACTGTCACAGTTGGTTTTGTGTGGCTTCCAAGTGGAAACCGGTCGGGTCCACCCACCATTTACTTTGTATTTATGTTGGCAGTCAGGAGAGAATTTCCCCTCTCTGGAGCATCTCAGCCACTGACATTAGGCCAGATTCTCACCCTGCCTTTGTTTATGCCTTCATGTTGTGATGTCAGCAGATAGAGGTGATGAGAAAAGAGCAGTTCCCAGCCTCAGAGTAACCTTTGCCTGAGATCCCTCCCTCTGTGTCCTCACCAGCAGAGGGTGACGTGGAACTGTGACCTTCTCAATCACCTATTTCATCCATGGTTCCTGTCTTAACAATGTCTCTCTTAGCTGGATTTTATAGAAGACAGAAGAGTGAAAGGCCTTGCCATGGATAGTAACTTTTCAGGTATACGGGCATATGCTGATGGAGAATTGGACATGGATGAGGACTCAAGTTTTAAATTTCATTTACTTTCACAGAGTGAAGCCCTCGCTTTTGGAATACTTAAGCTACCATCTCAACTTTATGAGTGTCATAGCTGGCCCTTGTAATAACTTCAAGGACTATGTAGCCTTCATCGAAGGGAGACATATATATATGAAGTTGCTGGAAATGAACTGGAAGCAAAGAGGTTTTCAGAGTTTGCCAGAACCTTCTCCCACTGTAAGTTTTTAGTACTCAGTATGGTTTTTTTTGGAGTTTCAGAGAATGGGTTTCATTCTCAGGGCTGATCCTAGCTAATAGTCATTCTAACTAAAGAGTCATAACTGGGGGTGTAGCTTGGTGATAGAGCATCTGCTTAGTATGCACGAGACCTGGGGTTTGGTCCCTAGAATGGAGAAATAAAACAGTAACAGTCAAATGTCAAAGAGCTTAGCAGAGAGCATGGGCGATCACCCACCCCCATTTGCTTTAAATCAAATCCAGGCAGTTATTGAGGCTCTTCTCTCTGTAAGATTGCTCAGTTCAGAGCCAGGCACTGTTCTCCGCTCCTCATCATGGCTGTTCACTTAAGCCCCAGTCACTTCTGGGGAGGGGGCCATTGCTGTGCCGTGTTAGAAAGGACACCCATTTCTATGAAGTTGGAAATTACAGACATGTAGGATGACATTTCCTGAAAACTCAGAGGAACTGGGCAAAATTACTGAATCCTGACTAACCTAAAAGTCAGGATACCCTAACCCCAGATATTCTGCTTTGTGTCTTTGTTGCTGAGATAAAACCATGATCCAAAGCAGCGAGGTGAGGAGAAGGCGCATTTAGTTACATGTTGTAGTCCGTCACCGAGAGAAGCCAGGGCAGTGACTTCAGGCAAAAACCCAGAGACAGGTTGAAGCAGAGACCACAGAACTGCTTGCTGGCTTGCTTGTTGGCTCCTGTTGGGATACCTTACTTCTACAGCCCAGGCCCAACTGCCTAGTGGGCCCCCCTACAGCAATGAGCAATTAGGAAAATGCCCCATAGACACGCCACAGGCCAATCTGCTGAAAGAATGTCATCAACTGAGCTCCCCTCTTCCCTGGTCACAGTAGGCTTGTGACAGAGCTGCAGGTTAAACATTTGAGTCTTCTGAGGAAGCTAATGCTCTCCATTATCTGCTCACGAACTGGCTCAGGTGTTCAATCGCCTGTGCAGAAGCCACTATACCAGAAGCCTCTACCTCCTGACTGGTGACACAGCATGATTCCCTGACTCTGCAGGCCTATACTAGTGGAAAGCAAATGGTTATTGCTTTCAGGAAGAAAATTGCTACCCTATAGTGGTATCCATTTCCCTCATGTTTTGGACAACAATCCTACCTAACCTATGTTGGTAGGAGATACTGAAAGACACATTCAGATATGTCCCATATTTACAATGAATACCTCCAATCCTCAAGGGTTACATGTATGTTCTGTATCTAAATATACCACCTAACCGAATCCTATCAGATTTGTGTCTTGCGGAAGAAAACCCATATCCATTGCCCTTCTTTCTAGGGAAGTTATTGGATAACCATGTTCTTTAAATGCTATTGCCAAAACTGTGATCCTCATACCTGAGTAGTTACATGGGTTTTCCCCTCCATTTCTAGAGAGCTGTGATACAGAAGTTGTGCATGACTTTGATGTCTCTGCTGTTGTTTTTGACACTCTCAAAGTCCTTTCCTGTCACCTTCCTTGTTGATGACTGGTTTGTACATAAGGCCGACTTTCTGAGTCGACTTTGGTACTTATATGTCGTCATGCAAGCCGCAAAGCCCAAGTACTACTTTGCATGGACATTAGGTAAGTTTGATGGAGTGGCCCAAAATGAATGAAGAATGGAGTGGTCCTCCTTGGATGGTTTAGCCTGAATATCATTTGGATCATGAAATCATGATTAAGTCCAATCCTTCCTGTGGTGGTGAAGCCAGTGCCAATTTTAACTGTCAACATTGCGCTCCTCTCTTCCACCCTTCGTAAACTCAGTTATCAGTGAGGAGATATCTGGGCTGCTGTTTAAACCCAATGTTCGTAACTGCTTCCAACCACTGAACATGGCCATTCAGTGCAGGGCAAAGTTAAGAGAAGATTCCAGAAGAATCTGGGTTGCTGTTCTCCGGGTTGTATGTATGTACGATGAATTTTACCATCCCACATGTCAGATTAGGTTGCACGTGATGATGCTGGTTGAGCTTGCTGCTTCGGAAGGAAGCTGAGTTCAAGGTTTTCCTCCTCCTAGTGAAAAGTTCAGCCTCATTTGGTTTTTATCACACATCTTTTTTTCTCTCTCTCTATTGGGGCATGTTGGCCAATCTCAAGGCTTCATCTCTTTCCTTTGAAATAAGTTTAGATGGACTTGTTTAAAGCTTTGCTAAGAGAAGAACCTATGTGCTTACCAAGGCTGGTAAAGACTTTGATTTAAGATGGGAAGTCTAGAGAGAGTGGGGACTTCACTTCTTACGTCAAACTGGTCATTCAGCAGGTCCCAGTGTTTTGTCTGCAGACTGCAGGTTAAGGAATAGCACATGACTCAGACCCTCTTCTTAGTTTGTGTTTTAGATTTTATGGTCCAAATTAAACTTTGCAGATGCAGAATTATTTTTTTCTTCATTCAAATATGTGTAATACGAAATAGACTTTTTGGCCATTTAGGCATGCAGTCCAGCATTGGCAGGTTTTTCATGACAGTTAAGCATAAGAGCCAGAAACTTTCATTGCCCCAAACATAAACTTTGTGCCCAATAAGCAGTTTCTCCTGGGGCCTGGTTATTTTTAGCTGCAAAAATATCTACGTGTAAGTTCAGTCCAAAAGCAGTGTTTCCCTAATGTTTAGCCAGAACATTAGACTTAGAGCTGTTTGTTATTTTGTTTGAGACAGGAGTTTACTAGGTAGTCCTGGCTGACCTGGAACTTGCTCTGTAGACCAGAGATCCACCTGCCTCTGCCTCTGCTGGGACTAATGGTGTGAACTACTACACCCAGCATTAGAGAGAACTGTTTTAGAATTTGTGGTGTGCTGTGTTTTGTTTCCATCTCCATTCAGTTTAGTTTAGGGGCTATTTGTTGAACACCAGGCTTTGAGTTAGGAAACATCTTCTGCATCTCAAGACTATGACATTTTGTGGGAACACAGACCTCTCCATCATCCAGGCAGGAGGCATCAAGAGTTGCCCCAGGGGCATAATATGGAGGCTAAATGTGCTTCAAAAACCTGTTCCCCTCCTTCCCCATTCTGCTGTTGCTTTGCTAGTTAATAATGCTCCCTTTTTTATTTCTCTAGTAGCTAGGCATTTCGATCTCAGGTAGCTAGGAGTCTATTTGGATCCCTGTATCTATGTGTTCTCCCATGCAAAAGAGTTAATGCTTTTTCTCTGCTCTAACCTGAGTACGAATGTGTGCAGGTGTGTGTGTGTGTGTGTGCGCGTGCATGCGTGCGTGTGTGTGTGTGTGTGTGTGTGTGTGTGTGTGTGTGTGTGTGTGTGTTTATGACGAGAGAGGGGGTTGGGGAGTGCTGAGAATGTCTTCCTCCCTTTTACTGCATTCTCTGGTTTCACTGACTTGCTCTCTCTCTTCTCTCCCTACCCTGTCTGCTCCCACGTTTTGTATCTCAGGGCTTTAGGGCTGGCTTTGGACTAAATCAGCTCCAGATTTAAGGAGGAAAAAAGGCCATTCCGTGGCCTTATGGGGAGAGTCTGACACAAGGTGGGTGTGGGTTGTGCTGAGAGGGTCTGGGTGGGAGGGGCGACAGGGAACAGGATGTCATTCTGCCCTTGAGGAGAACTCCCCAGGCTCTTGGAAGGTAGATGTGTTTCCTCTGGACAGCTTTCCCTGCTCACAGACCTCCTTTTCTCCCCAGTCTCCTCTGCCCTGTCTTTGTGTTTTCCTGGTTGTTTAGTGGAAACACTCCGTTAATTTGCATAGCTGAGATTTGAAGTTTTCTCCAGTTTCGATTACATGGGCTAGTCTGAAATTAACCTTTGTATTATTTATGAATAAAGAAGCAATGAATAGTCCATCAGGGAATATTTAAATTGCTTAACCGAATAATTGTTTTATCTGGCTCTTTAAAATGCCATTTACATATAATTGATGTACTAATTATAAATTATTATAAATTTAATCTTTAAAGCTGGCCTCTCATGGATGTCAGCCGTACTGTACTGTGTTAGACTTGCTCTAGTTACTGTTTATACAGAAATAATAAAACTTTTCTTTGGACTTAACATTCAGTTCTGATCCCCCCACACCCCAAATAATTGGTACTAATTCAAGAGGCCCAGCTGTCTGGGCTGTGTCCTAGGGACCACCAACTCCAACAAAGGGGCATCCAAGTCAGTTTGTCTGACATGTAAGTTACACCATGCGTGGGGAAAGGAGAGCCAGTCTGGGGCTATGAGTCAGAACCTCACTCTGGCTGCTCTAGGTCGTGATGGAATCTCGGATAAACTTCTGCGGAAAGCGCCGTGCTGAACAGGGAATCCCGACTCTCCAAAGAGGGCGATTCTGGGAGCCAGTTATCTCAAAAAGGAGCTCTCAGCCCTTTAGGATGTGGAATCAGTTCTGGCCTTCAGATTCTGGTGCTACCTACCCTGGAATGGTCTGCACAATGAGCAAGCATGCCCAGTCTCAGTCTCCTTTGCATTCCCATCAGCAGAGGCCACTACAGTAAAAATGGCCCCCACCATCATCTCCTGAGTGCTTCCTTGGATGGACCCTGTGCTGTGAACTTTGTGCACATTTCGACAGCTCTTTAACATAGGTGCTACTGTTGTATACATTTTATCCTTAGGGGAGAGGTTTCCAGGAGTTTGTCACCTCCTCTAGCTCTTCCATTACTATGCTGCTGAGCCTACCTTACTGATCCTCCTCACGCTGCTGTGAGGGTAAATAGGAAATACCTGGAAGGTGTTGGGTACAGAGACCCTGAAAGGTGTGCGATGGCTCATCTTGAGGGCCAGCTTGCTGGGATTGAGAACACACAGGCTATTAGCAAAATACACTTCTAGGTGTGTCTCTATGGGCATTTCCAGAGACAGTGAGCTGGGAGGGAATTCCATTTTTGCATGCTGGTAGCACCATGCATAGGCTGAGGGCTCAAATGTGATTGGAGGGGGGAGAAGGCAAAGATGGGGACAGGGGAATTCTTGCTCTGCCTGCTTCGAGAGCGCCACGATGTGGCATGCTCTGCCACACCCCACCTTCCCTCCAGTGATGGATTGCAATATCTGGGGCTGAGCTGAAGTAAATCTGTCCCTGCCTGAAGTTGTTTTTTTCCTGTGTGTTGTGAAAACATCTGACTATCGCAGATGATGACTAGGGAACACACACACACACACACACACACACACACACACACACACACACACACACACACACATACACACGCACATGCGTGCACTATGTACAATCATTGATTGCCTCTTTCAGCTCTGACCAGGAGTGCTGGGAACAAAATTGAAGGAGGAGGCTAGAAGCTAAAAATTGCTGTGCTGGCCTTGCCATGGGCTGTCCAGCTGTGATTTTAGCTGTCACCTACTTGACATTTGTCATTCATAGATTTGTTCTCACGTAGATGACACCATGAGGCTCTTTTTCAGGCATTTGCTTGCTTTGTTTTCTTTTTCTTCTCTACTGAATTTCCCTCTAGAGGAGAGAGAATGGCATGGGGCTCTGTCCTTTTAAATCCTTTCTTCTGTGAAACCAGATAGTTTTCAACTGAAGCCAAGCCTAAGATAATCATCATTAAATCATCAACTATGCCAAAAATAGCAGAGATAAACATAGGGCTGTGTTCTCTCTCTCTCCCTCCCTCCCTCCCTCTTTCACTCCCTCCTTCCCTCCCTCTCTGTCCTGGGGATGAAACCCAAGGAAAGTGCTGGACAAATGCTGGACCCCTGAGCTCAGAGCCCCCCTCCCACCTGGGAAGACTGTTGTCTTCAGAGTGGCTGATCTGCAGGCAGGCTCCTTTCCAGTGGGGTTGAAAAGCTGTCTGCATTTAGACTTAAACTTTTATGAGGATCCTCTAGGACCTCCTCCAGTCTAGAACTGTAAAGTGCTTTGATTTAATTAGGGTGAGTCATTAACGACTATTTTCTTGAAGAGCATATTCTTACAGAATTTGGAATATGATAAAGGAGAAAATTACTCTCTTGGTCTTCATCATAACAGTGAGGGCTTGTCAGGACTCTAGTTGGTTACAAAACACCTCATTAAGGCATTGATTTGAGGTAGACTGTTCCTTTGGGGGCCATTTTCTTATAGTTTAGCTAAGTAAATAAAGATAGAGGCAGGGACTTTCAGAATGACTTGGTTAGTAAGACGACTTGCTGTTTTCTTTTCTTTCTTTCTTTTTGAGACAGAATTTTACTGTGTAGTTCAAACTGGTCTTCAACTTCCTCCATAGCTCAGGCTAGCCTTATATTGCTATGTAGCCCAGAATAACCCCACACTGTTGATCCTCTTGTCTCTACCTCCCAAGCTCTGCTACTACACACTGGTAGGGTGTTCATCACTGTGGCCTTGTGTGGCTTCCACTGCAGCTGGCTCCCGGTTCCCAGGCCAGCATCTCTACCTTGTTGTGGATGTAAACTTTCCTTAATTGTATCTTGTGTTAGCCAATCATCTCCTTTATGTAGCCTGTCAAGGATAAGCTCCTGTTTTCTTCCAGAACTGGGTCTCTCCTGAGGTAACTTGCCTACCCTTTCACACCTGAGATGGTTAATGTTGTTAACCAGCTTGGTGCAATTTCAAGTCACCTGTGGCACATGCCTCTGGGCATGCCTGAAGGCATTTCCAGAGAGGCTTACCTGAGGTAGGAAGACTTCCCCTGAATGTGAGTGGCACCATGGTCTAGGGTCCCAGACTGAATAAAAAAGAGAAAGTGAATAGAGAGCCAGCATATTCTCTCTCTCTCTCTCTCTCTCTCCTTCCTCACCGAAGGTGTAGTGTGACTGGCTGCCTCATGTCTCTTCCATCATCCCTTCCCCACCATGAGCCAGAAGAAGCCGTCCTTAAATTGCCTTACTCATAGCAACAGGGAAAGTAACAAATCCCGTGTGTTACATCTTTAGTGATCACTCTTGGTCATTGCCTTTTCCTCTAAGCAGGGGTGTGTTTTACCTTCTTCTCTTCTCCAAACCCTGCCAGTCACTGAATCCCACTGCTGATGTCTTTACCTCTTTCCTTCACCCCCCTTGAAGCTCCCCTGTCCATTCCATGGACATCCAGTGCTGTGTATTTTAGCAAGCACTCAAAGGCTACAGAACAAATTAATAGAAACCAAGGTCACCAAACAGCCTGATTCATAATGATGCCAAATCCTTTGTGTGGTTTTTGGCTCCTTTTCCAAGAAACTACCGAATAAGCATCAGTATTGGAGCTAGACAATGTTTGCACTCTTTTAAAGACCTTTGCCTGGTTCCTGACATTTTGTCTTAAACCCACAGCGGATGCGGTGCACAATGCAGCTGGCTTTGGGTTCAGCGGCGTGGACGCGGACGGCCATTCCTGTTGGGATCTGCTGTCTAACCTGAACATCTGGAAGATAGAGGTGAGAACACTGTGGTTCTGGAACAAATGGCCTCAGTGAATACAGCCAGCAGTTGCTGTGAGCGTAGGTTTTCCAAATCCTGGGGAAAGCTGTTGGGGGGAGATGCCCGGCCCCATATTCCCTTCACCATTTGTATTTCAGATTGTTTCCCTCTCCTCCTCTTTCTTCTCCACATTATCGTCATCTTGTCTCCAGGAGACCTACTTTCTTGACACGTTTAATGATTTGAGGAAAAATGACACCAAAAATTTGAAAAAGAGCCTGGAAAATCTTTCTATTGTTTAATTCTTGTTCCACCAAGCAGAAAGTGAAAATGTCATTTTCTTTTGTTTGTGTTTGACTTGAATTTCAGTCCAAGTGTAGACCAGAGGCTTATGCCTTTAGACTTAAGCATGCTCAGCTGTGGTGTTTTTTTTTTTTTGTGTGTGGGGGCAATTTTATTTCATTTGATTTTCTGAGGACTATCACAACGCAGACCTTTTAGGCCACCAGGATAGTGTGTCTCTTCATCTGTCTTTATTCTCGGACCACAGTTCCCTTTGTGTCTTCCGGAAACAGTTCCCTTCAGACCACATCATCTCAGTTTGCTTTACCTTGTTGGCACTAGCATAGACATGACTTTGGAGCCATGGAGCCTTTCGTCCTTCAGAAGTAGAGGAAGGCCTAGCTCCTCGCTGGGCAGCAGGAGCATGAGTCCCCTAGTCAGCCCACTCAGGGTTAGTTTTCTATTTCCATCTACCCGGGGACAGACAGGGAGAGCAGGAAACCCGGGAGACTGACCATCTTCCACCCACATTTGGTGGAAAGCAGACCAAAAGGAGCCTCTGAGAAAACCTCTGCCTTCTTCCACCTGAGGCCTTCTGTGTTTGGAAGGCCTCCAGCGGGAAGCTGGCCTGCCTTTCACCAACCAAAAGTTTATAAGGAGGGTTGGATTTCCTCCTCCCCGTCCTCCTCTCCCACCTCCTCCTCCTCCTCCTCCTCCTCCTCCTCCTCCCTCTCCCTCTCCCTCTTTCCCTTTTTATCTTCTTCTTCCTCCTCTTCCCCGGCCACTTAGCACTTTGTACCTAATTGCATTATGTATTCAGTTAAAATTCCTGGTGCTGTTTGCTGCCTTAGGCTTATCAGATCGCAGAAGCAGCTAGGGGTGAGGGAGATGCTGATATTTGGATTTTAGAGAATCTGAGAGTTCCTTGGGTCAGAAAGCCCTGGCAAATATGGTTAAAAAAAAAAAGTCCCAAATTTAGAACTGGTTCTGAGCGAGCAATTTGCCCCATTATAGTAAACCACTTCTTCAATGGGAAGTTTCCAGACGTCATAACTACCTTTCCCGTTCTTGGAAAAGCATATGAAGACTGCAGAGTGACTTCGCTCCCTTGGAGCAATCTAGGTGACTGTCCTTCAGAGCTGACCCCCTTGGCTTTTAGCTGCCCGTGAGTTTACCCCAACTGTGCACCCAAGACAGCTCCCTTCCATTATGGGCATGTGCTTGGGGTCAAAGGCTGATAGTAAGTTACATAGTTACTATAAGAGAAAATGAGAACACTAATTGTGTTTGGTGTGGGGCAAGAACAAAGGAATAACAAGGAAGTCTGATTAGTTAGGGTCCTTCATGCCATGTTTTGCAGCATCCTGTGAGCTATGTAACAGAAACAAACTGGATTTAGAAGTAAAAACTCAATAAGTAATAAATCTCCTAACAATCTCTCCTACATTGTCTGTTTTGTTACCTATCATTCATCTACCTTCCATCTGTCATCTGCCCATCATCCAATTTCCTCTTGTATTTTGATCTATTATCTGTCATCTATCCATATCTGTTTACTTGTCTTAGAGTTTCTATTGCTGTGATAAAATTCCATGACCAAAAGCAACTTGGAGAGGAAAGACTTTATTTCAGCCTATACTTCCACATCAAAGTCCATTACTGGGGGGAAGTCAGGGCAGGAACTCACACAGGGCAGGAACCTGGAGGCAGGAGCTGATGCAGAGACCATGGAGGGGTGCTGCTTACTGGCTTGCTCACTAATAGCTTTCTCAGCCTGCTTTCTTATACATCTCAGGACCACTTGCCCAGGGGCAGCACGACCCACAGTGTCCACCACTCCCACACCAATCATTAATGAAGAAAACAACCTACAGTCTTGCCTACAGACAATCTGTAGGGGGCACTTTCTCAATAGAAGATCCTCTTCCCAAATAAGTCTAGCTTGTTTCAAGTGGACAAAAAACTAAGAAGTATACTACCTGTATATATTTTTTATGCCATTCATCTATTATCATCTGTTGTCTGTCCAACCTGTGTTCCCTCTCGTCTGTCTGTCATCTGTATTATCTCTCTGTCAGGCCATCTTGCATCTCTGTGTCATCTACCTTCTTGGCCTACTCTCTCTTTCAAGCATATTCCACTAGGCAGGTGTGTGGCCTAAACAGGACTTCTTATGGCTGAAGAGTTTCCACGGGGAAAAGCCACACTTCTTGCTACTTTTTGAATGAGAAAGCGCAGTTCATAGTGTATTTGGGGCTGTCTTCTTTGGCAGTTGACTGACTTACACTATTGCCAGATGGGTGATATTTCTTTATTTTCTTTTCTGTATTGTGATCCCTTCATGCGTGAAGTCTCTTACTATTTCAGGCAAAATTGGATGCAGTTGGGACTGGGAAACTATTTATAGAAGTGACTGTAAAAGGCTGACCTAGTTTGCACGTGGTCACATAGTACAAAGATAACAGTTTCATTTAACTTGTCCTGAAAGCCCTACAATCCGATAATTAGACTTTCCCTGTGGTAAATCTCCTTTTAGAGTAGTTCTAAGTCGTTTGACTTTGTTTTTTAAAAATCAGAGTGGGAGGGAATTGACAGAACTTCCCCCTCAGTTTTGCTCTAATGTAGAAATAAGTTTTGAGCAGACTTGAGTCTCCAAGCCAAGGTTTAGCTGCAAAGTAAATCTTATAAATGCCAGAAAATGTTACTGCCTGTGGCAGAACAGCTGACTGAACTGTGTCTGAGTAATCCCGCTTGAAATCCACATCGCCTGTGTGAGCAAGGGAGTTCTGGGCAGGACTTTCCATTGCTTGGGTATTTTTAAAGCTAATGATAGGTGTTATTTTCTTGTTTCTAGACTGCTACGAGTTTCAAAATGTACTTAGAAAACTGGAATATTCAGACATCTACGTGGCTGAAATGGTAAGGGACACAAGAACTATCTTATTGCTCATGGCAGGGATATGCTTAGGGACTCCCGGGGGTGAGGTGGGTGGGGCAACAGTTGGCTGCCAGTCACACCATCTGACACTTTGACATTATTATCCACATCTTGTAAATAGAAAAGTGGGGACAGCGACTTGAGAAGATCCCAGTACGTGCCTGTTTCATCCCATAATGCTCATCACTGAGTTCCACACTCTCGTTTATTCCTTGCAGCAATCCTGTGAGATGCTATTAGTAGTATTACTCTGTTTTGTAGTTGAAGAAAGAGAGCAGAGCGGTTACATGGAGTGCCCCAAGTCACAGATCTATGAGTGACAGATACAGGACCAAAGGTCTGTTCCCGGAACTAGGCGTTTGGCTTCTCTGCTGTTTGGTTTGATACCCAGGAGAGTCTAGTTTTCAGATCTTAGGAAGTCAGTGTCAACATCAAATCCCTGAAGAGGGCTACTGCTGTTCCTAGCACTGAGAGCTTTACCATCCCCCATCCCCCACATGCCTGTGTTTATACTGACCTTTCTCTGACCTGTTTCTGTATGTGTTCTAAATTTGGAAGCATTACTTGTTAGGGAACTATGAATATACTGTCTTTGGAACACCAAACTCCACCTCGTGAATGCACCTGAACCTGCAGGGAGCATAGGAAGAGACTAGGTTTTGCTTTTGATGAGCAGTGTCTTTCACAATTCTAAACACTGAGACGAAGCTGAAGGGGTGGGTGGACTTAAGCGTGGACTGCTCTTGCAGAGAAGTCGAGTTCAGTTCCTATCATCTACATGGGTTGTCTCAACCACCTGTAACTCCAGCTCTGAGGGATCCAGTGCCCTCTTCTGGCCTCCAAGGCACATGCACTCATGTGTAAAAACCTCCATGCTGTAGCTGGAGTTTTCCTGGTCCTGCCTGGACCACAGTCAGGACAAATCTCTCTCACCTGCCAGTCCCACAGCCGCTTAGACCCAACTGAGTAAACACACAGAGACTTATATTGCTTACAAACTATATGGCCACAGCAGGCTTCTTGTTATCTAGTTCTTATATCTTAAATTAACCCATTTCTATTCGTCTATAAGTTGCCACATGGCTTGTGGCTTACTGGTACCTTACATCTCACTTGTCATGGCAGCAGCTGGTAGTGTTTCTCTGCCTCAGCCTTCCACTTCCCAGAATTCTCTTCTCTTCTTGTCCTGCCTATACTTCCTGCCTGGCTACTGGCCAATCAGTGTTTTATTTATTAACCAATCAGAGCAACACATTTAACATACAGAACATCCCACAGCACCATGCAAATACATACATGATAATAAATCTTCAAAACTGTTGGTGCAAAGGAGACACAATGTAGTAATTCTTCAAATAAAGCTGATGTGATGCTCTCTGAAAACTGCCCGTTCCTGTCGTTTTTAAATTCTGATATGAACATGATTGTTTTTAATTAATGTTGTAAGCAATTTTAATACCAGCCTTTATTTCTTTATGCTGAGTAGTCCTGGCTTGCCTAGAGTCATACAGTTTCCATTAGGAGTGTACAGCCCAAGATGATTGAGAATGAAATATTTCACTCATGCAAAAAGATACAAAGAACTAAGAAAAAAAAAAAAGGTGCATGCCTAGTTCTCATACCAAAAAGAAATCTTACTGAGAACAGAGTTTCAAGCCTGTGTTTTTCTTTCTGTTGCATTTGTTTTCCTCCAATGAAAGAGAGATGAAACCCTGAATCCAGGTGTAAATTAGTTACTTTTGCTGGGCAGTGGGTGGTACACGCCTTTAATCCCAGCACTCGGGAGGCAGAGGCAGATGGATCTCTGTGAGTTCGAGGCCAGCCTGGTCTACAGTGAGTACCAGTGCAGCCAAGGATAGCAACAAAAATCAGTTACTTTTGAACCATCAGTGGTGGATTCTTGACAACTGCTTGAATTTACTGTTGCATTTTCTATTGGGACCCTGTCACTATTGAAGAATGTAGTGGCTACCTTGACTGCCACTGGCAATGCATAGCCTGAGTTCTGGGGAGAAAGCCCCCTTTCACTTCTTATCACTTACTTTAATTTTGGCTCAAGAAGAGCCAAAGATCTTCAAAGGAACCCGCTGACTTTTCTAGCTTCTCAGTATAGTTCCCACATTGAACATCTCATATCTGAAAACATGAAACCATAAGTGTCCCCATGTCTGAAGCCTTTTGAACACTAACATGATGTCCTATGAGGAAAATTCCCCATCTGGCCTCATGTGACAGATGGCAGTCAGAACACACACACTAGAATATTGGGTGACACTTCATTCCAGCTGTGTGTGCAAGGTATACACAAAACACAAATGAGCTTGTGTTTTAGACTTGGGTCTCGACCCCAAGATAACTCATATGTATGCAAACACTCTGAACTCTGAAAAAAGATTCCAAATTGAAAAGGCTTCTTGTCTCAGGCATTTGGGGTAAGAGCTACTCACCTCTATCTTCATTTAAAATCTGATGTGCTCTGAGCAGGTCCTCTAATTGTCACACTAATTTCTCAATAGGGTTCCTACCAGAAAGATAAAAAGGGTTGTCATGTTGATTAGTCATAGGGGCCTGGTTGGAAAGATAAATTAATGTTGGCTAAATGAAGATAATTTCTACGGATGCTTATCTGGAGCCCAGGCATTTTAATGCTGTTGACACTCATATCAGTACTTCTAGTGGATTTGCCCTTTGGTGGACCCTGCTTCTGTAAGGCAGGAACTTGTGTTGAGTTGAAAGAGACCCCTGAGACCTTTGTTATAGTAGACCATGTGATGGGCTCCAGACCATTTAGTCTAATGAGGTTAAAATGTATAGCAGAGCCATGAGCTGCATGTCTGATAGTGCTCCAGGATGCCAGAGAAGCACAGGTGACATGCATTTCATTGCAAGCCCCTCCTAAGAGGCAGGCAGGCACTTCTCAGAATGGATCCAGAACTTCCATGAGGTCTGCCCCAAAGGGATGCAGGTGGAGGCATGCAGCGTTTTCACCACGGGTTTGCTGGTCCTTCCTCTCTTTACAGTGTGTGCTATGAACGGGTCCCCTGGTACCCTACCGAGCTCACCTTCCTGCTGTCTGCTCTGTGGCATGGCGTTTACCCGGGATACTACTTTACATTCTTAACTGGAGTCCCTGTCACATTGGCAGCTAGAGCGGTAAGCTCCCTTCAGCTGTTGGCTCTTTTCCTCTAGCAACCTGGGGTGCACATGCATGTGTGTGTGTGTGTGTGTGTGTGTGTGTGTGTGTGTGCGTGTTCTGCTTTAAGCAGTGGTGAAGGTGTGAGGTTGTTGGGAGTGACTTTCTGATGCAGAGTGATAAATTCCTCTCTGGATACTGTTTTGTTTTGTTTTTTGTTTGTTTGTTTTTTTTTTGGAATGATATTTGGAAAACTCAAATAATGTATAAAACGTTGTCTTATTACAGAAATACTTCAACGTATAAGACTTGCCATTGTAAAAGTGGTTAACTGATTAATTTGCAGAGAGTAAAACAATAAGAATTTTACAAGCAACAAATGACTCCCTTGAGAAACAGACACATTTTTAATCATTAAAAACTGAATGTACATGTACAGATGATCATGTTTATTAATTAATGCAGGCTCTATCACACTTCAGTTTGCTTATACCCTGCTTAATTTCTCATGTCATTATACTACACCTAGAAGTAATTCACCATGTCTCTGAGAAGTCAGTGAGGTAGCAGCCTAAGGAACCGCATCTATTGGCGACCAGATCTAACCTCATATGTCTGATACAATCTAAGCATAAAGTTACTGTGTTAAGTACAGAGTTTTAGATTTGGTTTCATTTTGTTCTTTGATCATGATGATGGTCTCTCTTATTTCAGGCTCCAATAACGTTAGTTATACTATATGTAAATTTTGCTATTCACTCATTTTGCCTGGTGTGTGCATGGGGTGTGGGTGTGGGTTGGTGAGTGTTTGTTGGTGCATTTGTATGTGTGTGTGTGTGTGTGTGTGTGTAGAACAGGAGACAGCCTTGGGTGTCGTTTCTCAATTTGCACCCTTTGTTATTTTATTTTATTTTATTTTTTTTGAGAAAGGGTCTCTTGCTGGACTGGAACTCACAGCAGGTTAGGCTGGCTGCTAATGAGCCTCAAGGATCTACCTATGTCCACTCCCTTACTTCCTGAACTACAGTTGGATGCCATGATGCCTGGTTGTTGTTGTTTTCTGTTTTGTTTTGTTTTGTTTTTTCTTTTTTTAAAGTGGCTTCTGGATATTCAGTTCACACTGGGTTATCTTCCGAGCTCTTACTGTTTACTCATTCTTCAGTGTACTTTTCTATGAATATTTCAGCAGCCCCGTCACATGCCAGTCAGTGTCTAGGTGTCCAGATATCATATCGGATAAGATGAGCTCTCCCCTGAAGGTTCCTGTTTTACTTAGGTGAAATATATTAAATTCTACATATGAACAAGGTAGAAAATTGCTATTCATGCTGATTTTAAAAATTCTGAATATTTAATACATATTTGAACATGAGAAGAAGCAGGAAAGATCTTTTGTTTGTTCTTCATGTACCAACTCCAGCTCTGAATCAAAACTAAAGAACAGATTGCTTGAACAAACTAAGAAGTAAAGGTCAGCACTTTGCTTGTTGATGTATTCAGAGTATCATGCCTTAAAGTATCTTTACTCCAGTGGCCTCTTCTGGAACAGACTTTGATTTATATAGATTCTGTCTATTGCTGCCTTGTAAACAGTTTTCACAAGTAAGTTAGGTAGGGGATGGGAAGGGGGACTGATGGAGCAGAGCTTACAGTTTTGTTGTTGTTTTTTTTTTTTTTTCTAGCAAGAGAATGAACTCAGCAGTCAGGAAGGCTGGAGGTTAGCTACTTAGCTATTAAAATTTCACACCTCCTGCCCAGCATTTCTGAGTGGATGGAACCCCAGACTCTGTTCTGAGGCGGTGAGAGTGGATGAAAAGAATCATTGTTGGTGGGGTCTTTGTCTCGGTTTACTGTTATTTTGAGACTGAATCTCCTGTAGCTCAGACTACCCTGGAACTCCCTATGCATGTAAAAAATGACTCTGAACTACTGATCCTCGTGCCTCTATGTCTGGACATCTGGAGTGCTGGGATCATAGGCCCATGCCATGGTGCCCAGATTTAAGAAGTGCTGGGGACTGATCCCAGTGTTTTGTGCGTCATAGACAAGTAGTTACCAACTGAGTACATCCCTAGCCTAAGAAAGGTCTTTTGCTTCATCAGGAAGTGTTGGTAGCTTGCTAGAAGACTCAACAGACACAGTCCATGTAAACTATTAGCACAGACACGGCACACAGGAAGCACGCAGTAAATAGCAGTTGCTTTTAGTTGTGGTAATAGTTGATGCTTGTACCCTTGTAGCCATGGAAACGGTATAACACAGAGACTTATCAGTAAGAGCATGCACTACAAAACTGTAGCAGCAAAACAAGGGGCAAGTAGACAAGCTAAGTCTCCCTAATTACCTTAAATAACATTGAAGATTAATATTTATGGATGTGGCAACAAGAATACAACAGATTACACCAAAACAAAAAACCATCAAGCTGGCTAAAAAATTCACCAGTGCCGTTAGGACTATAAATGTAGATACATATAAATAGAAAAGCCTTTGGAGGGCTCTGTGCCAAGTTCTTTTTTTCTTTTTTCTTTTTCTTCTTTTTTTTTTCCCCGAGACAGAGTTTCTCTGTGTAGCTCTGGCTACCTGACTATCCTGGAACTCACTCTGTAGACCAGACTGGCCTTGAACTCACAGAGATCCTCCTGCTTCTGCCTCCTGAGTGCTGGGATCAAAGGCATGTATCACTACCGCTCAGCTCTGTGCCAAGTTCTTAAACTGTTTTTTTTTGGGGGGGGGTAGATGTTAAAAAGGATACGTATATATGTATTGTATCACACATATATTTACACATATATACATACATGCATACATACATACATGTAATAAGAAAAGCTGGTGGGGTTTTGGTTGAAAACGGAACTCAGATGTTTGGTTCTGCTCTTTAGCCTGTGTTCCTGTGGTCCCACTTCTTGTGTGTGTGACTGAGTGGAAGTCATTTCAATTTTCACTCCTGCCTCCTACTTCTGCCTTCTTGGTTTGCAGGTGAGGAACAACTACAGACATCACTTCCTTTCCTCCAAAGCTCGGAAGGTTGCTTATGACGTGGTTACCTGGGCCACCACTCAGCTGGCTGTCTCTTACACGGCAGCGCCCTTTGTCATGTTGGCAGTTGAGCCTACCATCAGTTTATACAAGTAAGTTTCCAGTGTTCTCAGTTGATGCCTAGGACATTTATCTTTTCTTGACTTCAGAGTTGATAAACTGATCAACATGCTAAGGGACTGTACTAAGAGTTGCTAAGTGTAACTTGACTGTGGAAATGCCTGTAGAAGAGCAGATGACTGTCCCAAAGATACCAACATGAGCTCCAATACTTGTGATGATGGTTGACAAGGATCTCCGAAGTAATCCCTAATGTGAAAGGGCTCTGGTGGCCGTGCATTTGGAAGGGATAGATACAGAGTAAAAACTCAGAGGATTACACCCCCCCCCCCCCCACATACACACACACTCCGTCTGCCTGGTAGAATACATCTGTAATCCCAGCACTTGGGAGGTAGAGGCAGGAGGGTCTTGAGCTTGAGCCTGGGCTGTGAGATCTTGTCTCAAACAAAGGGTGAAAAAAGAGCTTACAAATATGCTCCCCCAAACTCAAGGGGTGAATTCTTGCCCTTGGCTCTTTTTCCTGAGGATTAAGCTGTGTGGGAGAGTTGGATGATACTCTGAGACAGACTGAGGGTAGGCGCTAGGGTGTTGCTGCTGGTTGACTGAGCACTCTGTGCCTACAGATGAGATGTGATGCTAGTGAGTGTGCATGGGGATTTATATTTCCAGATGTGCATGATGGTGGGGGATATGGGAACCAAGGGTGGGGACCAGAAGATTTTAGGAAAAGGTCTATCAGGCCTTGTATTTGAAAGTCTATGTTCCAAATGAACTATGACTTATAATCATGTACTTTCATATTTCATGTTCATGTTTAATTTTTTTCCCCATCATGGAGTCCTTGAGCCTTTGGCCTTGGAATTGTGTAATTTTACTGTAAAAGGAGGCTAAGAATGCCTCCAAGCATCTCTGTTAGGAGTGAGTGTGGGAACTGAGTGAGGGGCATGCGGGGGATGCAGGCCAGTACCTCTACACAGTAAATGCTAACATGCATCATTTAGTGGATGACCCAGGTCTTTCCAGATTCACTTTTGTGTGTGTGCATGACAGTGTGTGTGTGTGTGTGTGTGTGTGTGTGTGTGTGTGTGTGTGTGTGTGTTTGGTGACCAGAGGTCAAGGTGTCAACCTTGCTTTCTGAGGCGGGGGCTGTCGTTTGGCCCAGAGCTTACTGACGAGGCAGGCCTGACTGGCCCGTGAGCCCCAGAGATCCTCCTGGGTGCCCAGAACTGGGATGACAAGCGTGGGATAAACAAGCACATACTTAGCTTTTTAACGTGTGTTCCGAGGATCACACTCCGGTCCTCATGCTTACGTGGCAAGCGCTTGACTGAGCCGTCTCCCCAGCCCCAAGGTTAAGTTTTTTGTTTGTTTGGTTTTTTTTTTTTTAACATAGTTTAGTTATAAAGAGTGACTTAGAAATAGACAGTGCCATTGTTTACGCTCAGAGAATGGTACCCCAGCTGTGATGTTTAGGCATGTTGATGCTTTGAACTGAAGGAACCAAAATCTCTCTGGTTGTTTTCCGGTCCCTGCCTCTCTTTTCCTCTTCAAAGCATCATTGTTTTCTCTTTCAAAGTGTAAGACAGAACTGCCCCTGAATGTGCTCATTCTGAAGCCTGAATGTTTAGCAGATCAGATAGAAAGACTAGATTTAACACCGCATCCAGAGCTCATGTGGAATTTCCTCAGACTGTCTAATCTTCCAGCCGTATTTTGGCTAAGCCTAGTCCAGGTGATCATTCTGACTCTGTCCCTGCGTCCCGCCACCAGCGCCAAACCTTGCACCAGTACTAGAATTACAGGTCCTGATGGATATACCCATATGCCCAGCTTTTTTTTTTTTCAAAAAACATGTTTACTGGGGATCTAAACTCAGGTTCTCATGCTTGCACAGCCAGCCCTCTCTCTAGCTCTGACTCACTCTAAAGAGAGTCACTAAATCTAGTAAAAGGAAATTCAAATGTCATGACCATTTGGAGAAGATGAGTGTAGTTGCCTTGCAGATCTGTAGCTTGTTTGGGGTTAAGTTCAGTGGCCAACAGTGAAGGACAGCTATAAACAAATTCACATCTCAGATGTTCTCCGTCTTTTGCATTTACATTTCCAATATGCTTTGTGTGAGACTGTAGTTGTTTATTTTTCACTCTTTTGGCTCTTTTGCTCTTTGGGAGGCCTACCACCCAGTTCCCAAATAAATACACAAGGAGCCTTATTCTTACTTATGAATGCCTGGCCTTAGCTTGGCTTGTTTCTAGCCAGCTTTTATTAACTTAAATTATCCCATCTACTTTTTGCCTCCGGACTTTTGTCTTTCTCTGTTTCTGTATACCTTTCTTTACTTCTTACTCCATGGCTTGCTGTGTAGCTGGGTGGCTGGTCCCTGGAGTCCTCCTCCTTCTTCTCTCACTCCTTGATCTTTTCTTGCTTCTTGATCTTCTCCTCCCAGATTTCTCCTCTTATTTATTCCCTGTGCCTGCTAGTTCCACCTATCCTATTTCTCCTGCCTTGCTATTGGTCACTCAGCTCTTTGCTCAGCTCTTTATTAGACCAATCAGGTGTTTTAGACAGGCACAGTAAAACAGCTTCACAGAGTTAAACAAATGCAACATAAAAGAATGCAACATGTCTTTGTATCATTAAACAAATGTTCCACAGCATGAACAAATGTAACACATCTTAAAATAATATTCTACAACATGAGACCTTGTTAAAAAACAAAGGTTAAAAAAACTGAATAAAGGAAAAGAAAAAGAAACCTATGGAATTGTTTGAAACCCAGTAGTCACACACTTACTTATCTTTAAACAATGCTTTTTTAAATTCAATATGTAAGGATGTTAGAATTTGGCCTTGGATAGATTATTTGATAAAGCACTTTCCTTGCAAGCTGAGGATCTGAGACTGATCCTGTCTTAGTTAGGGTTTCTATTGCTGTGACGAGACACCATGACCATGACAACTCTTATTAAGGAAAACATTTAATTGGGGTGACTTACAGTTTCAGAGGTTTAGTTCATTATCATCATGGTGGTACATGGTGACATGCAGGCAGACTTGGTGCTGGAGAAGGAGCTGAGGGTCCTACATCTTGATCTGCAGGCAACAGGAAGTAAACTGTGTCACTGTGTCACTTGATCATAGGAGACCTCAAAGCCCACCCCCACAGTGGCACACTTCCTCCAACAAGGTCACAGCTCCTAATAGTGCCATTCCCTATGAGCTTGTGGGGTCAAATTACATCCAAACTACCACATTACACTCTTTGACACCCACAAACTTGTAACAATATTACAATGCAAAATGCATTTAGTCCAAAGTTCAAAGTCTCTTCCGAGATCATGCAATTTCTTAACTGTAATCCCCTATAAAACCAAATTTAAGAAAAAAAAAAAAACCAGATTACATACTTCCAACATATAATGGCACAGGATAGATATTACCTTTACAAAACGTATAGAAGGGACATAGTGAGGAAAGACTGGACCAAAGCAAGACCCAAAGCCAACTGGGCAAACTCTGTATCTCCATGTCTGATGTCAAAATGCTCTTCAGGTCGACAGCACCCGCATAAGATGCTGGATGTGGTAGCACGTTTATAATCCCAGTGCTGGGGAGGCAGAGATGGGAGGATCTCTGGGGCTCACTGCCTAGCCAGACAAGCTTAACTGGAGAGTGTCTGGCCAGTCAGTGAAAGACCGAGCCTCAGAGGAAGTGGACAGTGTTTCTAAAGAACAACACCCGAGCTAGTCTTTTAGCTCTCCCACACAGATGCACACATAAGCACCACACAAACACACACTTTATAAAAGAAGAAGGTTAGAATTTGTAAATAACTTTTATAGCTAGCCAGCTCTTTGGAAACAAACATCATTTATAGCTGGAGTACCAAAGTCAGTGTTGAGTGTGCTCAGTAGACGATAGCTGATTTAAGACTTCCTATAACAGAAAGATGAAACATTGCACATAGTTTTAGAGGCGATGTGTACTGTCAGAAAAGGTCACTCACATTTACTAGGAAACTGAAGTTTGCTTTTCTTGATTGTCTACTTGGATTTAATTTAACATGATTGCCTCATGTCCCACAGGAAATGGGACAAAGTAGAAGGACAAAGTATCTTAGGTGTGTTCGTTTTAAAGTTGTAGTTTACTGCAGCCCTGCTTATGACCTCTGAGAATCCAGTCTGTGCCCAGGGATTTTCATAGGAGGTCCCCTTCACTCTCAGTGTTCTTTTCACACTAAGTTAGATGGTTGATTACTCCTCCTTTGCTGTTTAAATAGCTATTCATCATACCCAGATGACCCTCGGATCCATGGGCTGAGAATATTTTTAAGACACTGTGCCATATTGATGTCTCTCTTGTGACTTTCCTTGAAAAACATAGAGAAACATCTGCACCCCAGATAGAAAAGAAGCTGACAGATTAAAGAAAGACCCCTTGAGACCAGATGGGGAGTCAGCTTATTTACTGGGGTTATTTACCAAACCATCAATAATTTTAGCATGTTGGTTTCACTACTGAAAAGCAAAACCCCAGTCAGTTTTGTATATCTTAAATACTGTGCACAGTTGGTGTGGAGGGAGAAGTGATTGGAATCTCAGGGAAGCATCATGTGATATCCTCTCTATCTCCAAGGGGGAGTATAAAAAGCCCCTTAACCTTTCTGTGGATTGGCTTTTTGTTACGTTGTTCTGTTTATCACCATAATGACTGTAGACCAGGGTCTTCTGTAGGTCACTACAGCCATTCTGCTTCAAGATGGGGCTAGTCCTGTTAAGTCCAGAGGAAACTGGTTCTATGGTAGAACATGTACAGAGCATTCCACTTGCTCTTTTCCTCTGGCCATTTGCAGTCTATTCAGTTTTCTAAGTATACCACATGTGGTAAAAACCATAGGAGAGGCTTGTGTAGATTATATGTAAGCATGGTACTGTTACATAAAGGAAATAGAGTGTCTGGAGATTTGGGCATAAGTAGGTGCCCTGGGACTGATATCCTGTGGGTATCAAAGGACCACTGTGCTTTTCCTGTTGATCTTCTCCCAGGGAACTGGGTAGAAACTCATCCTTTCTTGGAAATCCTAGTTTAATACATTTTGGGTTTTTTTTTTTCTTTTCTTTTTTAGTGCTGAAAATTGAAGCCAGGGCTCCACACATGCCAACACGTGCTCCACCACTAAGCTTTATCCTGGCCCTGTGCTTCATCCATCATAAGCAGTTACTGTTTAAGGAACAAATGAGCAAGTGCAGATACCTTAGTGCTCTTGACTACTCCATAAATATTTCTAGGGAGCCATTCCTCTTGCTAAAGGTGGAGCAGCTTAGGGTAGATGTGAGTTATTTGGCCTTGTCATTATTGAGGAATGATATCAAAGCAGCTGTCCCCTCTTATAACAGGACTGACCCTAGCAGGGGCCAGTTGTTTTTGTTTTTCTTTCTCCAGGGGCCAGTTTGCTAAGATCTCTCCCCATATTACCCCACCATCCTACGTTGACTCATGTCTGGAAGTATGTCCAGTCTGGTAGCCAATCAGGGTCCTACCCAGCCACAAGAAGGAACTGTTCTTGCTATTTTCAGTCAAACAGGTCCCTGACACTGCAACCATAGTTGCTGACCAGATGTCATGAGCCAATCACAAAATGATTCCTCTACCAGTAGAGGTCTAGACCCAATCACTTCAAAGTACACCTAACCAGAGCTGGAATTCCCCTAGCTGTGCTTAAAAGGAGCCTGCAAGCATCTCTTGGGGTTGCCATTTTGCCACTTTGTCAGATGGTTTGACCCCAGCATGCTGGAATGTTTGCTTTGGAGAATTAAATGCTCTTGTTGATTGTATACATGTCTGGTGGTCTTTTGTGGGACTTCTCGTGGACCCTAATTATTATTATTAGTTGTGGATCCCTTGTCTTTTAACTGTTTTCTTTAATCTTTAGAGAACATTAGAGAGGTTAGAGATACAGCTCAGTGATGGAGTGTTACCTAGCATACACAAAACCCTAGTTTCAATCCTCACTATCAAGAGAAGGGAAGGGTGTAAGGAGAGAGGGGGGAGGACAGAGACAGAGGCAGAGAGAGACACAGAGAGAGACAGAGAGAGCAAAAGCGCAGGCAAGCAGGGCAGAGGGAGATGACTAGAGTATTACTTTAGCCTTTCCAATGGATCTGGAATAGTTATGCTAACAGAAACAATTTCTAGTTACATGTGTTTATTAACAGGTTGTGCCCAGTGTTTACTTGGCATTTACACTATGCCAATGACAGTCAACCATTGTCAAAAGTAAAACTTGGTTTTTATTAGTTTAGATGGAAGTTATTTTCAAACTCTAATGGAGCTTTCAAAATGCAGACCCTGGACCGGTGAAATGGCTCAGCCGCTAAAAGCTCTTGGTGTGCAAGCTTGACAACCTGAGTTTGATCCCAGGAACCCATGCTAGAAGGAGAGAACTGATGCCTAAAAGTTGTCCTCTGGCCACACATGGACTGTGGCACTTCTTTGCAAGCCTCCCCACAACAAATCATAAAATAAAAGATTTTTTTGTTTGTTTGTTTTTTGATTTAATCAAGATCTTTCCAGTTTCTAATGTAGACCGGAGCTCCTCAGTCTTGAGAAGTACATGAGAGATGAGGCTGTGCTTGCGCTTGGAGCACAGAGTGGGTGGACTTCATGTGCTCTGTCATCCTCAGTGTTTGAAACAGCAGAAATGTCTGGTTTCACACAGTTAGTTCTCTTGGTCTGATTATGCCAATGGGGCAGTGCTGCATCTGTCTGTCTTTGCCTCACCCAGCTTTGTGGTTTCATCCATCCTTAGCTTGCTTGCCTGCCAAAACAAGGAGCACATGGCCAGCCTGAGGCATCGTGCCTCACTGCTACTGCTGCTGTTGAGCACAGTGCCTCCTTTTGCCCTGCTGAAGATGATGTCATTGTGTATGGAGTTTGTTTTCCGTTTATGCCCCTCTTTGAAAGGCAATTCTTGTGTTTTTACTTCTAGGTCTATGTTCTTTTTCTTACACATCGTAAGTCTGCTGATAGTCCTTTTCCTGCCAATCAAACCACACCAGCTTCAAAGGAAGCCTCAAAGTACAAATTCTGTACAGAAGAAGGTGGACTGATACCCACAGAGAGAAGCTGAACAGCAGAATTGCAGGACATTGTGAAGACAAAACCAACAGACTTGAGGGTTCTCCAGTGACTTAGAGGAGATGTTTACATGCGGTCTTTTTTCACTGCAGGGAATATTTTTATAAATCCTTTTTTTTTTTTTGTACAGTTAAATCACCATGTCTAGCTTTGTCTTCATATATTACAGGGCCTTTCAGTGACACAGTGTAGAGAATAGGCCACTGGGTTAGCTCTTCTGAAATCATTTCCACCTACTGAAATCTGGATGCATGGATCCAGGCGTTGCCTCCAGAACTTAGGAGATGTCTGCTGAGACGACTTGTCCAAGATTTCTGAAATCAGAACCTTCCCAGACATGATTTTCCCCTGGCAACTCCAGACCCTTGGCTGCATGACTTACTGGGTTGTGGACACAACTCCTATGCTTAGACGCCCTTGGAAAGAAGTGATTATGGAGGAATGTTTTCAGGGTGTTGAAAAAAAAAAACTCCACAAACTGGGAAGATTAACCCTGAATGCTTGAATGGATTGATGTGCCCTCCAGCAGGCTGCATTACTTCCCCCAGAAATGCATCATTCCCTTCTTTCCTTCTGAACTGAGCCAAGATTGGAAATCAGAAAGTTTCCTGCCTGTGTGCCCCTGGAGCTGGGGAGCAGATGGGGGCTACTGCTTTCCATTTTGACTGCTTTGATCTGTGTGACTTGACCTGAGTTGGCCCTGAGAAGGCACCCAGACACTGACACTGTCAAAGGTGACTGAATACCTTTTCAAGAAATAATTGCTTTCAGTAGGTAGAGGCTCTGTCTTCTCCCTGCATATGTTGAAAGTGTCAGTGATCATGGCCAACATGTAGACACAAGCTGATTTTTGTAATGGATTAATTCCATTGTAATGGATGCAATTGCAGCTTTATTTTAGGTGAACTGTCATGCTGGGAAGCTGCAACTGAATGATAATGCTCTACTCTGTCTTCATTATGATTGTGCTGTGGCTCCTTTGGGGCATTTCTACTGGGTGAAATAGTCTGTGTGAAAGAAGGAAACACATATTTAAAACGTGGAAAATAATAATAATGATAATTATAATAATAGTAATTATAATAATAGAATATATGCTTCAGTGATGTGTTCTCAATCAAATGGCCTGGGAGCTGAAAATTTGATCTGATCAGATGATAAAAAAAAATCAGTTTCTCACTGAATAAATAATATATTTCTATTTTAGGAAATGATTCCTTATGGAAGAATTGTTTGTTTGTCTCGACTTGTGTGTGTTTTCACAAATGTGTACACAACTGAGGCTTTCTTTGTCTTAAGTTCTAGCACTGTAACATGGTCAGTGCTCTCCGTGTTACATCAGAAATGGGGACAGTTTTGGTTTCTTTATATGATTTCTTATCTTCATTTACAGCATTGTAAGTATGCTTATTGTAGCATGAATCTTAAAGGTACTTACTAATAAAAACAAACCCAGAGCTAGGTATTGGGTTAAAGCTGGAAGATCAGAGAAGCAGAACAAGCCACAGCTTCCTCACCTCACTAATTCCTCAGCTGATCCTGTTTCCTCAGACTGGATGCCTCTCAGCTGAACTGTGCTGCTCAAAAGCCTAAAAGCTTAACCAGGCTATAGTTCCTCATCCTCATGCCTTAAATACCTTTCTGCCTCCTGCCATTACTTCCTGGGATGAAAGGCATGAGTCACCATGCTTGGCTGTTTCCAGTGTGGCCTTGAACTCACAGAGATCCAGGCAGATCTCTGCCTCTGGAATGCTAGGATTAAAGGCATGTGCCACCATTTTCTGGCCTCTATATCTAGTGACTGTTCTGTTCTCTGACCCCAGATAAGTTTATTAGAGTGCACAATATTTTGGGGAACACAATACCACCACATTATATTCCCTTACAAAGGAAGGGACTGTGGAGTACAGACATTGGCTAGTGGCCTCATGTTACAGAATTAGTGATGTCACTGAGACTTCAATCCAGGGCCATGGGCTTTTCCATGAGGTACTGCTGTGGGATGGTCTGTATGTCAAGTGTGTTGCTGATTGTCAATAAATAAATCACTGATTGACCAGTGGCCAGGCAGGAAGTATAGGCGGGACAAGGAGGAGAATAAAGCTGGGAAGTGGAAGGCTGAGGCAGAGACACTGCCAGTCGCCACGATGACAACTAGCATGTGAAGATGCCGGTAAGCCACGAGCCACGTGGCAAGGTATAGGTTTATAGAAATGGATTAATTTAAGCTGTAAGAACAGTTAGCAAGAAGCCTGCCATGGCCATACAGTTTGTAAGCAATGTAAGTCTCTGTGTTTACTTGGTTGGGTCTGAGCGGCTGTGGGACTGGCAGGTGAGAGAGATTTGTCCTGACTGTGGGCCAGGCAGGAAAACTCTAGCTACAAGGTACCCTTCCAGTGTGTCTTAGGACAGTGAAATGAGGAAGTCTTCTACTTTGACTTTTAAAGTATGTATCAGTCTTGGTGCTGAGTAAGAGGATGTAAAACCCTTCCTGGGGTTTCATGGGGGATTGGTTCAAGAACCACTTTCTGATTCCAGAGTCTAATGATGATCAAGTTTCTTATGTAAAATGGCATAGAATTTGCATAAAATTTATGCATAATCTCTTGTGTATTTTAACCAGTCCTTGAATTGCGTATAGTAGCTAACAGAGTGTAAGTTCTGGGTAAATTATTGTTATAGTGTGATGTTTAGGAGAGAGAAAGGAAGATACCTATATGTGTTCAGTGTAACCATCCCCTCCTCCCAATGTGGCAGAAACAGAAACAAATGAGCCAGTAGGAAGCCAGAGGAAGTAGATAGCAGAAGAGAAAACGTGTGGAAGCTGATGGTGATGGGGAGAATGCAACAACCAGTGGGAGGTTTCTTGCATGCAACAGCTGAGAGGCAAGGATCAGAGTATCCTGGACCCCGAGTTCCTCCACAGTGTTGTAGTGAAGTAGTGTGAACCCAGTGCATGAGGCTCACTTCATTTTAACTAGGAACTCATGAGACAAACCCACCTTAGAATCCCAAGAGCAGTGTTTGTAATAAACGGTGGGATATAGGTGCTAAAACATACCAGAGCCTCCAGCAGAAATATTGTGAAGTACAAACATGGGGAAAAAAAAAACAAACAAAAATCCCACACTGAAGAGAACGGTAGCCATCAGGATTGGCATGAGGTGCGAGTAATCCATATAGAACTTCTGCAATAGAGAAGTTCTTTCTTCCCAGACTTTCCTGTACTTAAGTATCCTCACCTCTGAGAGAAGAACCTTGGTGATGGGAGGAGAGAGCTGGCAGCCAGCTTGCTTCTGTGAGGCTTTTCATTAGCTCTGAAGGGACAGCGCATAGAAGGGAAATTCAGCCTTATTTTTCCAAGAACCTTTTCCGTATGGTTTCTCTTTAGGACCAGGGTTGGAACTATATTTATTGCCATAGATTTCCAAGCTGTCTGTAATATAAGGTGTGTTTTAATAAAAATGAGTTGGATGGGCAGGGGGAGGTTGGGTTGAAATCAATATATTTTCTGCCTTTTTTTTAACTAAAAAAAGTTTATGCGTATGAGTGTTTGCCCGCATGTATGTACATGCACCATGTGTGTGCCTGATGCCTTCAGAGGGCAGGAGAGGACATAGTTTCGTGGAACTGGAGTTCCTGATGGTTGTGGGTTATAGAAATTGAACATGGGTCCTCTGCAAGAACAGCAGTGCCCTTAATTATTGAGACATCTCTCCAGCTCCTGATTTTATTTATTTTTTAAAGATAAATGTAAAATAGTCTGTTTTAGTATTTATTTATTTATTTATTTTTGTACTTGGCTTTTTAGGTAGCCCCAAGGAACAATATTATTCAGTAGTTGAGAAAAGCAGTAAGGAATTCAGTCTGAGATTCCGACTGGTGAAAGGAAAGGGCAGTGGGAGGAGGCTGGGACAGGAACATAGGAGTTGACAGTTGTTCCTGGTACTGGTGGGGCTCGGGCTGAACGTTTCCAGTGTCTGGGCAGTGTGTAGATGACTCACTTTCTCACCTCTGCTGGACATCTGAACTACTTAGGAAGCCTAGAAAAAAAAAATCAATGCCTGTGGTCTAGAAACTTCATCTTTCTTCCCCTATTGTCTCTGGCACTTGGCACAGGCCCTGCTGTGTAATGAAGACTTAGTAAGTGTTTGTTGAGTGAATAAAGGGTTGAATGGATTAGCTTAATGCATCATTGCTCTTGACAGTTTTGATTGAGCTGTGTTTGCACGGGGAAATGTTCCTGCCTTTCAAAATTAGTGTTTGAGGTAAAGGCCTAGGTTTGTAGAGGATGCTGGAAGCATGGTATGGCTTGGGAGTAGGGGATCACTCAAACAGCTAGTTGACATAGTGTGAACCCGCCTGCTCCCTCCATTCACTAATTAATGCATTTACTTAGTTAGCATATGTGTTGTATTTGGTGTGGGCTTGACATTCTTAGACACTGCAAGTCAAAGATGCCTTACACAGTGATCCTAGAAGATCTGGTTCAGACCCCTGTACCACCGGGATGCCCTGGGAACATGCAGCACTCCTAAATTAGGAAACTGTTGGACTGGTGGCTTACCCCTGCTTTCCTGCAAATTTAGAGTGGCTATTTCTTCTGGCTAATGCTCTACCCAGGACAGCAACTGTGCCATCCCCTAGCCTGCTGTCCACAGAAGTTAAATCTGCCCTTGTCTGAAGACACATTGACCTCAAGCAAATAGTCAGGGCATCAGCTACACCATCAAGCAGGCTCCACTTGCATGGCTGCCTGCAGAGGTAATTTCCAGGCCCAGCAAGTGACTTTATGGGGCCCACGAGGAAAGTTATTTTCCTAGAAAAGTCCCAGCTCACATGAGCTTTGTCAAACTCCCTGTGTTTGTCTACTCCCAGCTGTGAAGAAGAGCAAAAGCATTCATGAACAGCTTCCTTTCGCTTGTTTCCCCTCCTACAGTTCTGGGAACTTCTTTGCAGAGGTGGAAGCTGAGGCTCAGGGAAAATAGGTGTGGAGACGAAGTCACGGCAGATTCAGCTGGAGGTCCAATTGGCTTTTATTTGTTGTTCATTAACCAAACAGCTTCTGGTGACAAAATATAATGAGTCACCAGAGAGCAGTGGTAGACAGTAGGTTCTATAAGGTGGAAACAATGGGAAAATCTGGGGGACATCAGGTTGGTTCAGGTTATTTATATTTTTGTGACAAGTGAATCCTGGGGTGCTTCATATGATATGAAGGTAGATTTGAAATTTTCTTTTAGGAGAAACAGACCTGTTTGGAAATTTACTTGCTTCCTTAGCATAATTGATTGCATTCTGGTTTGATTATGATTACTGGTGCCTAGTGTGGAAGCACAGTTCAAAATGGTGGCCTCCCATAGACTCTAGTTAACACAAGTAACAGGCCCAAGTTCACCCAGATAGTGGAGGAGCTGGGATTGGGATCCTGGATGGGATGAGTCAAGGGTCTACTTTACATTCCAACTGCAGAGATTATTTTCAGAGCAACAGACACCTTTAGGTTCCAAGAGTAACACTAGCACTCACCTGGACCAGAGGTTTCCAGATGTACCCTAGCTGGCCCTGGCACTTTGGAAGCTTACTGGACATGCAAGGGGTAGAGAAATTGATGTGATGTAAAGTTCATGCAACCACTTTCACATTGGAGCAAGTCATTCAGGGCAGCATGATTCTGTGTTCCTGGTCAACAGTCACTCATTTGTGGCTCAGAATAATCTTGGCCATATTCCATTTAAGCTGAGAGCTGTGTTTTGCAGCAGTAATTAATCCTCATCTCTACTTTAAGCGGCAGGGGAGCTAAGGAACTCAAGGAGTGAAGGAGGAGGGTGGAAGCCAAGCTGGCATTGCAGATATAGGTCTTCTGCTAGCATCTTCTGCTCCTGGCCCTTGATGTATTTTAGGATATGCAAAGGTTCAAAGTTTCCCTGGACTTTGGGTATTTGAAGCTGTTGTGAAAAGCAAGTTGCTTTTCTAGAAATGAATGACACTTTGGGAGGTCTAAACACAGAGACTGAGGAGCAGAGCAAGGGCATGACAGAAGTTGGAGGTCCAAGGAGAAGAATTTCCGGTAGGTAGACTGCTCTGGTGACCTTTAAGCACAAGAAGGTGTCTAGTTGCTGGGTTGTTTGTCTCTTAGCTAGAAAGACTTATCTTTTCAGTGCTGGGACTTCATGCCTGCTAGGCAAGTGCTCTGTCACTGAGCCAAACCCACAGCTCCCTAGAAATGGTCTTAATCCCAGAAAACGCTATACTTGGTTCCAATTTTGCTTAACATTGGCAAGAGAAAGGAGAAAAGACTGGATAAGACAGAGAACACAAAAGGAGCTAAAAACTGGACCAAGATATGTCTAGAGTCAGCTAAGCCTCCTGTAAGGATCCCCAGTTGTACTGGCTAAGATACTGTGTTTTTGAAGGTTGCTATGCACCTATTCTTTGCATTTCCAAGCTTGTCTATAAGGCAAGAGTGCTGTGGGATGTCCTGTAAGTTATGAACATATGTTGCTATGATTGATTGATAAATGAAACACTGATTGGCCAGTAGCCAGGCAGGAAGTATAGGATAGGCATGACAGAGAAGAGAGGCTGGGAGGTGGGAGCTGGAGGAGACGCCAGCCTGCCATCCAGGGAGCAACATGTAAAGGCAGCAGGTAAAGCCATGGAACACGTGGAGACAGATAGATTAACAGAAATGGGCTGAGTTAAGTGTAAGAGCTAGTCAGTGGTAGGCCTGAGCTAATGGCCCAGCAGTTTAATTAATGTAAGTTTCTGAGTGATATTTTATAAGTTATTGTGGGGTCTGTGGTGCTGGGCAGGACTGAAGAAAACCCCAGCTATACAAGAGATCTTGGGATATGAAGGTAAGGATGCCTGCCACATCCTTCATGTTTTGGTCCTGGAAACCTGACAGGGGCGACTTGTGGATGAAGAAAGAACAGACACATATACAGAAAAGCTGGGATTGGATGGGTTGTGCTTGCTCTGACAGAGGGCACCTATTTCACAACCCTGGAACTCAGTGAGCTTATTATGTACAGCATAAGGAGGAGGGATTAGCTAGTCTGCATGTAGGAGAGCAGTCTCAGGTTATAAATGTCAGGGAGGAGGAGTATGTGCAGTCAGTCAGCATTCACACAAGAACCAGAGCAAGGCTTTGCTATGTCTGGAGTCTGACCTGGGGAAGGCTTTGCCATGGGTCTGAGGCATCGGTGTCCTTGACATGGCCATGCTAATGTCAACAACATGTGTTTACTCAGGACTTCATTGGCTCCCTGGAGATGCCTCACAGAGTCTTGGTTACAAACATCCCAGAGTCTCCCTCTGCAGATATCATGGTTGAGTGTATATGGGGCTATGCCCAGAGTCAGTATTATTAATTATCTGTCTACATAATTCTGATGTGTAACCAGGTTCAGAATTAAAGCATTGTTTTTCCTTTCTGCATTTAAGGAAACTGAAGCTTGGGGATTATAGTGCTCAGCCCTACGCATCACTAGGCCCCTTCATACTTGAGATGAGGGTAGAAGCACAGTCTTTTGACCCACTAGAGTGGTTTGTTCACAAATATACTTTCTTCCTGTAGAAAACACTTAAACAGCCTCACTTCTGGGACTATGGATCCCAAAAGAGCGCTCTGTTTTTTATCTCCCTCCCCCACCCCCCTACCCCGCAACAGCCTTAAAGATGAGTGACGGCTCAATGTGAAACTTGGAAGAAAGCAAAGGCAGTACACCTTCAAGACAAGGTGTAGGAAAGGGCTCTCAGAACAGGACGTCATTTGCCTAGGAATAAAAGGCAACAATTAATGAGCAAGACCTTACAAACAGCTAGACACGGGATGGGAAACTTCCCTTGGAGTTCTTGGTTAGGGGCATCTATGAACTTCCCAAAACAGTATGGGCGATTGACACTGTCCTTGGTGGTCTTCCAGGACTTGAA